GAAACTCTAATGAAGACATATGTTACCTACACATAGCCAGATATTTAAAAATCAAAATTAAAAATTGTTAAGTTGCCAATGCAAATAGGCTCTCATACCTAATTTACTTACTGACATTTATACAGACAAGTAAAATTATCTTTCTAACTTTTTTTTTCTTTCTCCTGGTCTCTACTTTGCCTTGGCTCTTAAAAATGAGAAAAATTCAGAATAAGGAGGGAAAATCACAAAATATCAGTGTCAACCAAAGTCATGTGTGATTGCTGTTGGTTAGAGCAAAAATTAACAGTGAGTTTGTTATTTAAGAGATGGGATGAAAGCATCAACCAAAGTCATGTGTGATTGCTGTTGGTTAGAGCAAAAATTAGCGATGAGCTTGTTATTTAAGAGATGGGATGAGAGCTGGGCATGGGAGATACTTTTAACCCTAGCACCGGAGAGGCCAGCCCTCCTAGCACCCACGAGGCAGGGGCTGGTGGGTCTCTGTGAGTTTCAGGCCAACCTGGTCTACAAAGGGAGTTCCTGGTCAGCCAGGGCTATGTAGCAAGACCTTGTCTCAAAGGGAGGGAGGGAAGAAGGGAAATAAGATGAAAGGCCTCTTCCATTATATATAGCACTTTACTATTTAGAAAGGCAGCATTTGGTCATTTATTTCATTTTCTCAAAATCCTTTGCAAGAGCACACTCATTTGAAAGAGACATGGTTTATTTCTGGGGTTGCTGGGTTATTGTTCTGCTCTTATTCAGCTTATTTCATTCAGCTGACTGTTGAGTAACGTTGCTCATAGGCACTTAGTCATGAGATAACCAGAGATATAAGAAGTGTGATACACTTTAAACTGTTCCCTGAAGATGCTATCTTGCACTGTCATTATGATGCACTCACTCTTGCATATTCAAGTTTGGTTCTAAGACTGTGGCGTCTTTTCTGGGTGTTTCAGGGCTCTGTTATGGAGGATTTACTGTGTCACACACTGGGAGCCATGCTTTCTCGAGACTAGACTCCATCTCAGCTGATTTATTGCTTAACTTGAAAATGCTTCCCAGCCCCAGCTTGCATTTCTAAAAAATTATTTGGGCGTGTGTGACTATTCACAGGACTATTGTATTTGGACTAGAACCCATTTCTGAATAATAATACTTTGCCTGCCCATATAAATATAGTTCTGATTTCAAATTGTGGCTTGAGTTCAGTTTTTGTAGAGAAGTATTCAGAATTTCTGAGGGAAGGGGAGCAAGTGTTGCTGGAGAAAAAGATGGGTCTTCAGGGACTTTGGAATGGGTGTGTGACTTCCTTTTCTTCTAAGCCCTTAAAATTAATACATTCCTTACCATCCTGCTCTCTATGTTCTGAGGTCCTTTTCTTTTTCCTTTCTCTGCTCAAATATCATGGTATATTTAAGCACCTGAGGTTGCCTTAGGTCAGGGACTAATAGTGAATTTAAGACAATTTAATCTTGTCACTTTGACCTAGATGATGCTTTGGTTTTCTGACCTACTTTATTCAAATACCTTTTATTAGAACCGTTGCTTTATGAGTTTTACTCTGAAGATGTTTGCTCTTCATTCAGACCTTTGGTTGGTTGTGATTCTTTGAGATAATAAGGTCTCATTATGTTGCTCAAGCCAGCTTCAAACTCCCCGGCTCAACTGATCCTCCTACCTTGGCCGTCTTAGCATCTGGAACCACAGGTGCAAACTGCAATGACCAGCTTATTAAAAACAATGTTTTATTCATTGTTATTGTGTGCACATTTGATGTGCGCTGGGTGTGTACACAGGCCTGCCGTGATGCATATAGAGGTCTGAAGATAATTTTTGTGGAATCAGCTTTCTCCTTCTGCCTTTTTTGTGGATTCCATAGATAAAACTCAGGTCGTCGGTTTACAGAGCAGCACTTTTACCTGCTGAACCATCTCCTGACTCACGGCTCACTTGCTTCTTTCCTTGTTTGTTTAAAGGGGAAACAGTGTAATGTAGCTTTGTGTATGGTGAGAACATGTTATCCAATACAAATCAAATGAGAGCCGCATGTAGTTCTCCTTCTTCCCTCTTTCCCTCTCTCTGTTTTGAGAAAGCATAGGCTGGCTTCACTGTGTGTAGCTCAGGGTGGCCTCAAATTAGGAATCTTTCTACCTTAGGCTCTTGAGTTGTAACTTCTGTTTTTAATGGCTACATAAGACAGAATAAAAAGTAAATTATTGTTTGTTAAGAGTACTTATTGGAACTGGAGAGATTGCTCAGGGTTTGCTATTCCAGAGGACCTACGTTTGATTTTCAGCACCACATAGAAGCTCACAACCATCTCCTAAGTCCTGTCCCAGGGGAACTGATGCCTTCTGGCCTTCACAGACACTGTATGCATGTGGTACACAGACATGCACCCAGGCAAAACACCCGTGCACATAAAATACAGACAGCATCTCAGTAAGGTCATTATTTTTATGTGTGTGTGTCTGCATGGGTCTATGTGAACCATGTGAGTACATGTCTGTGAGGGCATCAGATCCCCAGAGCCTAGAGTTCCATGTGGTTGTAAGATACCATGTGGGCTCTGGGAACTAAACCCAGCTCCTCTGCAAGAGCAGCAAGTACACTTAACCACTGAGCCCCATGAAATTAATTTTTATAATTTATTTTAAATAACTTGTCTCCTAATTATTATCATTTTGAAATGTAATCAGTACAAAATTAATAGCCATAGTTTAGGAGAAGGTAGCAGGGATAGAGAAGAGGCTCATGGGTAAGAGAGCTTGCTGTGCAAGCATAAAGCCTGTTTTTGGATCCCAGAACTCATATAACAAGGCTTTGTGGTTGCAATTGTTCCCATAACCGTAACACTGTGGGGGCTAGAGATCACAAGGCTTACTAGCTTGAGTGACAGACCCTGTCTCAAGGACCTAAGGCAGAGAGAGATGGAGTGATACCTGACACCCTCCTCAGCCTCTCCATGAGTGTACAGGCACATGTGCATACAGTGGGGAGGTCTCTGCTACTGTTGTGTATGGAAGAGGGGAGGGGTGTGTGTGTGTGTGTGTGTCTCCGTGTCTCCGTCTGTCCGTCCGTCCATCCCTGACAGGGTTTTCTTGTCTGTCCGTCTGTCCGTCCGTCCCTGACAGGGTTTCCCTGTGTAGCTCTTATAGACCAGGCTGGCCTTGAACTCACAGAGATTCGCCTGCCTCTGCCTCCTGAGTTCTGGGATTAAAGGTGTGTGCCATCACCATTGGCAAGGGGAGATCTTTACAGTGTCTCCTGCTTCAGCTTGGTGTTTTTTCTGTGGCTAAGAGTTCTGTTGCATCTATAAGGTAATGCTAGGGAAAGCAACACATGCCTGTAGTACTTGAAGGGTCTAAGAAAATGTCTTTTACTGAGTCAGACTTCAGTAATAGCCCCTCTTCCCCTCCCCCTGCCTTTTATATCCAATTTAAATTCCTTGCTGGAAAGACAGGAAAGTTTGTAGGAGATTTTCCAAACACAAACCTTGGTTTTTATAATATGGTTATGGTAACCAACTCTGTTTTGGTAAAGTTAGCCTATTATATGAATGGCATTTTGTAATTTAGAAATTTGCAAATTAGAGAACCACAGGCCATTGCAAACCTTTAATGTGAATGCTTTATGTTTGCATTTAGTACTGTAAGTTAGCCTTCTAGTCATTGTACAGGACAGAATGGAGACAACAGAGAGAGCTAATGTGACTCAGAGAAAAGTCATGCCAGGAAGTAAGTTAGAAACTTAAGAGAGAAGAGCAGTTACGAGTCCATAGAGTAGGCAGTCCTGTAAATAAGAGCCATTCACTGGAGAGGGAAAAACGTGCAGAATTCTGTGGGAAGCAAGAGTAGGGAAATGCACCAGACATTGATGGTCAGTTGACTTTTTAGAACGATGCCAAAAGAACAGGGTTTTACCATGTAATGCTGGAGCAGCTGCTGTCCCATGTAGAGAATAAGGTGACTGTCAGGTTGAACACCTCATACCATGAACAAAAATGAACTTAATAAGGATCAGGGCCCTAAATTTTGTGTTCAAAACCATAAAAACTCTTAGAAGACATAGTAAATCTTCACAGTACTGGACAAAAACAAGAAGATAAATTAGACTTCATCAAAATCTAAAACTCCCATGTTTCAAAAGGCAATGGGAAAAGTTATTTCAGGGCCTGGTACCTGGTAAGGAGACTCACCTACCCATTCCCAGTCAGGGAAGGAGTGGGTGTGTGTGCCTCCATATTGGGACCTTACATGCCGTCTCCTCTTGCCTTTGTCTAGGATGGAAACTCTCTTTTCCTTAAAATCACTAAGTACCTCTTTGATTCTACTGTCCGCTTCTAAGTAAAAGCTGTAGACTTGGATGGAGAGGTTCTTTAGCCAAGAGTTCTTGATCCTTTTACGTGATTAGCTTGTGCACAGGGCATCTCCCGAATTAATTTTAAATTTCACATTTAAAAACCGCCTGGATCCAACCATTTTACAAGTTTTGCTTATTTTTAAAGTACAAAGTTAGGAATCATCTAATCGTCCTTTTAATCAGTAAACAGCATTGTAACACAGTTAGCATGATAGAGCTTTTAACTATGCTTTGCTGTGTCCTTGCCCCTGTCAGCTGTCCTAAGCCACGCTGTGAGCTGGTTAGATAATCTTATGGCTCACCAACAATAGACAAGGAAAACCTAAAGTCGTCATTTCTATTTCCTCCTATTAAGTGAGAGTTGCTCTGGAAATACATTCTGCAAGAAAGCAGTGGTGACCATTTGCCCTTTGCCTGTAAGTTTCTAAGTAGATCAAAACTGGTTGTGATTATTACACTTCTGTTAAGGAACTGATCATTTTACTGGGGGCAAGCCATGTGGAATACTGCATCCCCTGCCTTCTAAAGGCAATTTCTGTAAAGGTTCCTCAAACCCAGGAAAAGATGACTGCAATTGGAATAGGGCACATACAGTTCTAAGTTGGTCTATCCAGGCTGGTTGGCTAATGCCGTCTTTATCCACTTTCAAACAGATGCGCTCCACCAAGAGATGCTGGATGATGCACAGAAGAAGTTGATGAACTTAGTGAGCAGCACGGAGGGAAAAGTGGACAAGTGAGTGTTGCCTGGTTTTTTGTTTTGTTTTGGTTTTTTGAGATATGTTTTCCCAGTAGCAATGGAGTCAACCCTAGAACTTGTTCTGTATGCCAGGTTGGCCTCAAACTCACAGAGATTCACCTGCTTCTGCCTCCTGATTGTTGGGATTAAAGGTGTGCGGCCTCATTGACCATCTTTTTTTTTTGAGCGTTGCCTCTTGACTCCTTCTGAGTTACAGGAATAGCTTTCAGAGAACAGTGGCACTATGGCAGATGTTTATACATGACCATATTTTCAAGAAGCGGTTTGCTTTTCTTATATAGTGAAGTGTAGGTAGTTTTCATGACAGTCAATAGAATAACTTACGTTCTTTTGTTTTTAAAGTCTGTTTCTCCCAACTCATTTCTTTTCTCAAAAACCATATGCGAGAGTTTAAAAAAACATTCTGCAGGGCAGTGACACACGCCTTTAATCTTAGCTCTTGGGAGGGAGAGATAGGAGGATCTCTGTTTGCTCCAAGACAGCCAAAGCTACACAGAGAAACTCTGTTTCGGGGGCCGGGGAATTACTTGTATATGAAATTCTTAGAAAATAAAAGGTTTATTTTTAATATTCCTCCCTCCCTTTTTGATTTTTTTTTGAGATGGACTTTCTTTATGTAGCTCTGGCTGTCCTGGAACTCATTCTATATACCAGACTGGCCTGGAATTCACAGAGATCTCTGTGCCTGCCTCTGCCTTCCAAGTGCTGGATCAAAGGCATGCACCACAATCACCTGCATATTTTCCTTTCTTTACTGCCCTTAAGTGAACACATCTAGCCTGTTTGAATGTATTAGGCCTGAAACCTGCTTGGTTTTGCAATAATATCTCACTTAATACTTTAAAATAAGATATTATTTAAAATCTTTAATAAATATGGTTGGGGGCATATAACATTTTATCTCCATTTTTCTTGTATCAGGTAAGAATCACCTAGTTAGGTGTTAAAAACTACTTATGAGATACCTCCTCAATTAGTTATAAGTCTAAAGAATTGGTTGGCTAATAAGTGTTTTTAAAATTTTTAATTTATTTTTATTTTGTATGTATTAGTATTTTTCCTGTATGTCTATCTGTGTGAAGATGTTGGATCCCCTGGAACTGGAGTTTCAGACAGTTGTGAGCTGCCACGTGGGTGCTGGGAATTGAACCTAGTTCCTCTGGAAGAGCAGCCAGTGCTCTTAACTGCTGAGCCATCTCTCCAGCTCCTAATAAGTGATTTGTTTTTTAAGTGTGTGTTTTGGTTTGTCTGAAATATTCCTAATTAGACTTCTTAAAAAGCTACTTTAGAATACCTTATCATTCGGTCTTTATGATTAAGCATCTCATTGTTTAAATATAAGTAAACGTTTGTTTAGTGTATGGGTGTGCTTATGTTAGGTAGGCTGTGTTAGCTTGACCCAAGCTATTTCTGCCTTGGTTTTCTAGAGTCCTCATGAGAAACCTCTTTGTTGGTCACTTCCACACCCCTAAAAATCAGCGTCATGAAGTGCTGCGGCTAATGGGAAGCATCCTGGGTGTTAAAAGGGAGGAAATGGACCAGGTAATCAGACATTAAACCATTCTAACCCCCAACCTCATTCTCTGCTGTGCCCTCCCCCTCTCTCCCTCCTTCTTCTCTTTCTCTCTCTCACTGGGGATGGAGCCTAGCATGTCTTTCACATGTTAGGTAAACATCCACCACTGAGCTACATCCTGGTTCTCATACTAAATATGTTTATAATTGCATCTATAATATAGGGGCATAGTGGAAAATAGTTTGTTTTTACTGTATATAGAACAGGTTTAATACAGTTTTCTTAATCAAAGAAGTAGGTTTGTTCAGTTTGTGTGGTGTTAGTGTAAATATTTTATAACTTATACACTAGTTCTTATACTAGATTGTTGACATTTTTGAAACATAACCATACCAAGAACATTTATTCCAGACTCTGCTGGGGCGGCATTTTATTTTCTCTGTAACCTCTGTTAGTGGTAGGAAACCTTTACTAGAATTTGAAGTATAAAGTGTGATTTACTGTTCCCTGAAACCACATAATAGAGGTTCTTGTTTTTCTTGTCTTATGTTGGTAATATTTTTCTGTTTAAAAATGTTCTTGCAGTTGTTTGCTGCAGATCAAGGAGGTGTTACTCGGTGGATGACTGGATGGCTTGGAGGAGGATCGAAAAGTGTGCCCAATACACCTCTGAGACCAAATCAGCAATCTGTGTTCAATAGTGTAAGACCCAGTTTTACTCTTGCTGAACATGAATGAGGAAATGAGTAAATATCACACCCATTTGCATGGTGTCATATTTCTTTTTACATCATCTAATACAATCCTAGTAACATAATCAAATATTTTCTCTTAGTCCTTTTCAGAACTTTTCGTTAAATTTCTGGAAACAGAATCTCATCCATCTGCCCCACCCCCAAAGCTGTCAGTTCATGACTTGAAACCTCTAGATTCTCCAGGAAGAAGGAAAGTTGACACCAGCATACCTGGAAGCTCCAAAGGTAAAACTAGACGCTTGAGTTTTCCCTCAGTGGTAAAAATCAAATGTTTAACTTAAGATTTAGATTTATAGTGACTTTACATTTTCAGTGTTCTTGAGATATGTAATACTGCTTTCAAAATTCTCATCTCACTAAATTTGGGTCTTATATGTTGTAGTACCTTGTTATTTATTTGCTTTAATTAATGTAAGTAGCATAAAATATTTTCATTTTATGGCAAAATTATTCTTTGTGAGAATTATTTTGTCTTCATGAGAAACCTTTCATTGGTCACTTTCACATCCTGCCCCGAAGTCATAGATATTATAGTATATTTATAGACATTGTAGGAATCTGTGATTTTATTTGCTTTATTTACAAGCCACTTGGAATTACTCTCCTGGAAATGGTAGTAAACTAGTTATATTTTTGTTTTACAGCCTGTTTTCATTTCTCTCTGATAGTAGTTATTACTAATCAAAGTTAGATGCATATAGTTTGACTATGATTTTTAGCTTTGTATTTCTTGTATTCAATAACCAAACCTTGTCACATAAATAATATACATAAGGTTGGTTTAGTTAACTGACCTAAACATCCAAGAAGTGGAAAAGCACCCTTGGGCGTTCAAAGATCTGTCTGGAACGCAATCGCTGGTGGCTACATATGTATGTATTTTTGATCCCACTGAGATGTAATGGTCTTATTTATTTCATATTGATAATACTGGCATATAGTATAATTTCTGGAATTGGAATTGAATTATCCACTAGACTATAAACCAATTCTTTTTTCCTGTAATTTTTATATTTTAATTTAGAATGATATATTTTAGTGTAGACTTAAGGTATATATCGTATGTTTCATAGTTAAATTTGGATAAATATTAAAGAATTTCTGTTTTAGAATTTTTAAAGTTTTTTTTTTTTTTGGTTTTATGAGACAGGGTTTCTCTGTTTTGGAGGCTGTAGGTCCAGCCTGGCCTCAAACTCACAGAGATCCGCCTGCCTCTGCCTCCTGAGTGCTGGGATTAAAGGCATGCGCCACCAACGCCCGGCTTAAAGTTTTCTTATTTAGACAGATATTTCTGATTTTCTGAACTGTCTTTTGTTTGTTTGTTTGTTTTACGAGACAGGGTTTCTCTGTATTATTTTGGAGGCTGTTGGTCCAGCCTAGCCTCGAACTCACAGAGATCCGCCTGCCTCTGCCTCCCGAGTGCTGGGATTAAAGGCGTGCGCCACCACCGCCCGGCCTGATTTTCTGAACTTTTATATGGATGTGAAGCAATAAAGTTTATCTATCATTAAGATAAAAGGTTTGGCTGCTAAATTCAGTTAAAAGTTGTCACTCTCAGAGGTACAGACTATACTGAGCACATTTTTCTTTTCATTTTTGCAGTAGGTTATAGCTTCTTAAAAGAGATTCTCAAATTCTTTATCAAAAGGTCTCCACATTTCTCTGCCTTTCCCATCATTATCTACCCTCCCTCCCCCTCCCCCCTTCCCCCTTCCTCCTTCCCTCTCCCTCCCTCCCACCCACCTATCCATCTATCCACCTCTCTTTTCTTCATCGGCTGAGCGCAGCTTGGTGTATGTATCAGAGATGGGCTGAGTTGTGGCAGGGTCTGCATGAAGAACACAAGCTTAGTATTCATACTGTGTTCACAGTGTGTGAAGTTTAGTGTCCCCCTGTGTTCACAGTGTGTAGAGCTTAGTAAACAGCATAGGAGCTTTTCAGTTTGGAAGCTTGTTGGTCACAGAAAGTCCAGCATGGGAACCCAGAAGTGCTCTGCAACAGCTGCATATAATGAGTTTATTTCTGTCTTTGCCTTAGTGCCCATTTTTTTTAGTTTCCCATTACTTAAGAAGGATCATCCCAGGGTTTGCCTAGCTCTCACCAGTGAAGTTATTAGTGTTCTTGGGGGTAATAAGGCAGAATTATAGCCACAAAGATAGATCATAAGCCAAACACCTAGTCTAATGAAAATGACTGCCCAAGCTGATAGAGAAATAATACCACTGAGAATGTTCTCCAGCCTTCAAATGTCTAAAAAGATGATTGAGTCATATATTATTTTTTGCTCTTCTGGAAAATTTTAATTACTATTGCATCACTGTAGCAAAATGGTTGCTAGCATTTTTCATAGCTATCATAAATGATTCAGTCCCTGTGCACAGTAAAGCTGAAGATGTGACTGCATCAAAGCTCTTTGTAAATACATATGAACCTTCCATAAAGATGGGTCCTTTAGACTGTATGTGGTGCCTCCTATAAAGATAGTTTCTACAAGTTGAGAAGCACCTGTAAGGATCTGGGGAGGATCCAATGTGGTCTTGGCTACACAGACAGCACAAAGGTCGACAAGATACAACCACATCCATCCTCAGCTTTGGGGTGGAAACAGGCTATACATCCCTCCTTTTGAAGGAACGACCACATGTGTTCCTCCACATCCTGCTTATCTGTGAACACAAGGACCTCTATACCGCCCACACTTTTGCCCATCTCTGTTTCACAGATAGAGTCTGCTGTAGGATCTAGAACTCAGCAGCAGTATCAATTGAATTTGTAGGTAGCCAAATATGGAAACCCAGAAAATGCTTTGACTGACTAGGAATGAACTTTCATGAGGTTTTTATAATACACATTGGTATTCTTTAAATGTTATTTGTTTATTGTGTGGGCATGTGTCTATATGTGTGAAAGTGTGTGCACTCCATTCACACTTTTGGGGGTTTGATTCCCTCTACCATGGGTTGTGGGCTTGAACTTAGGTCATCAGAGTTGGAGGCTTGGCGGCAGGTACTTTTGTTTGCTGAGCCATCTTGCTGGCCCATAATTTGTATTTTATGCTTAGGAGGGTGTTCTCCTTTTGAATAAAGAATAGCCCAAACCGGTGCTGAATAGTAGGATATGATCAGCAGGGTGGAATTTAAAAATTGATAGTAGTGATAAATTGATTACTCAAATTATCAAATTTGTCAAAGTGTCAAAACTGAGCATGGTAGCACAGTTCCAGCTTTCAAAGTAGAGACAGGAGGAACATGCTCAACCGTTAGGTTCCTGGCTAACCTGGACTAGATACCCCTGGAGACCATAGGTTCCTGGCCAGCCTGGACTAGACACCCCTGGAGACCTTGTCTCAGCAACAAACCCCAACAACCATGTTGATGAGCTTGATAAACTTATTGGAACAGGTTTCTTTACATTATTGTGTTCAGAGGGTTATTTCATGTCACCTCTTTGTAAAGGATAGAAACCAAATCATCTGTATCTTATCTTTTAGATACAGCAGAACCCAGGGTAGGAAGAAGGACAGATCTGAGTCCATTCTTGGCTCCCCGCTCAGCAGCTGTGCCCCTCATGAACCCAGCTGGACATGGACCTGGTGGGCCTGGGCATCTTCTATTGAAACCCATCTCAGATGTTCTCCCCACGTTTACACCTTTGCCAGTGTCGCCTGACAACAGCGCTGGCCTTGTACTAAAAGACCTCCTAAAGCAGTAGGAAGCTTTCAAGCCAGAGACTATACAGCACTTTAAGGAAACCATGAACACTATATGTGAACTTGATCACAAAGTGGCCTTCTGGAAAGAGTCATTATTTGTTTGTAGTTGTAATTTCTCTGTTAATAAAAATATTCTTAATGCTTTTAGGAATTGCAGGTGTCAGAAGAGTAAGTAACTGCTGTATAATCTGCCTTTTTGTTCACTATACGATGTCACCTAATTTAAAACTAGAAATGTGGTTTACCTTTTAATTTACAAAACTCTACAAAGGAGAGGCAAGAATAACTATGTTTGCTTTTGTCTCCTTAGATTTTCAAGTTCATTTAATATAGGGGCATGTGGTTCATCTTTTCAAGATAAGGACTTTACTCCATCCTACCCCACCCCCCAAAAAAAGGCACTTAATAAAGGCAGCTTTGCCCAGAGCAGAAGATGCTCTGCACTGTGCCTCAGCCACCATAGAGGACCTCCTGTAGGGAGGGAACAAGGTGGCTCTGGGAAGTTGTGGGTGCCCTGAGGCAAAGTGGGTATTTGGTTCTGTGCAGTTTTATCATGTGTGTAGATTCTTCTGGCCATCACAGTTAAGACCCAACCTTTCACCAAAAGGGTCCCCTGAGCTGCCTTTTTCTAACCCTTGCTGCCTGCCTTAGCCCCTGAAAACCACTAACTGTCACCCTCAATAATTTTATTATTCTGTGATGCTGTTTAAATGAAATTACATGTTATTGTAACCTCTTGAGATGGGTGTTTTCAAGTAGCATAATTCCCTTGAGATCCACCCAAGTTGTTTCATGGATCAGTAGTTTTGTTTCTTTTTATTGTGGAGTATATGCTGTTAGTAACTAAATGGTATCATTTAGTTTCAAGAGCTGAATTGTCGTTTTTAAAGTGTCATCTAAAACTACAGGTTTCCATCAGGGCCTGGGGTGTATGGTTAGTCTCAGCACCTGGAAGGCAGAAGCAGGCAGATTCTTAGGAATTTGAGGCCAGCCTGATCTACACAGTGAGTCTCAGGCTAGCCAGAGCTACAAACATAGTGAGATCCTGTCTCAAAACACACACACACACACACACACACACACACACACACACACACACACACACACACACACACACACACCCCACAAAAGCAAATGGAAGCCTAAAGGGAGGGCCCCTTGCACAAATGCACAAAATCGTGTAACTCTTGTGTACGTGTTATGCTGTATGGCTGCGTCCACATAAGCCTTAGACCACAGTTAGCAATATCTGGGGACCTATCCCCTCCTGCCTCTGTCTGAGCTGCGCTGTCTGCGCTGTAGTGCTCCATGAAGTGCACCAGCACCAGGTGTTTGGAACTTAAAGCCAGTACTACTGTACTTTTTTACAAAGCTGTTCTGAAAGAGAAAAATCCTGATTCACAGCTTGTGTTGTATCAGGTTGTTCATATTTGTATTAGTTGTTGACATTGTACATTTAGAAGTCATTTCTTGCATATTTTCTAAGTTCAGATAAACCTTTAAAACAGGGAAGCCTAAACAGCAAGGAAGGGAGGAAACCAGATTAACTCTCAAATGTCAACAGTCCGAGCACCTGTCATAGCTAAGCTGGGCTGTTTTTGTGAGTTTACCTATGATAAACTCTGTATTTCCTTTTTTTTTGTTTGTTTTTTTGTTTTTTTTTTTTTGAGACAGGGTTTCTCTGTATTGTTTTGGAGGCTGTCCTGGAACTTGCTTTGTAGACCAGACTGACCTCGAACTCACAGAGATCCTCCTGCCTCTGCCTCCCGAGTGCTGGGATCCAAGGCGTGCACCATCAACACCCAGCAAACTGTGTATTTCTAATGTGTTTAAAAGACTGAAGGTTTCGGTTTTAATAATGTGTTGATGGTTAAATACTTTTCTATGAAAAATTGAATAACTGAGACAATGCTGCTTCCTGGTGCCACCTGTGTCCTTAAACTAACTTATTTATAGTTCCTTTCCTGATACTTGTTAGAAAAAGTTGCCCTCAGAGAAATGTTAAGCTGCTCCCACCAGTTTTGTCAATGTTACAGATGTCTCTCAATTTACAGTGGGTTCATGGCCCACTAAACCCATTGTAATGAAAAACATCTTGAAATAACATTCATTTGCTGTACCCAACTATCAGCCGGCCTGGCTTAGCATGTCTGCTTCCTCTCGGGACCACACGAGGCTGACCGGGAGCCACAGCTCCCACTGCCAGCATTGGGAAAAGAGAAATTCTAAATCTGAAGCACGATTTTGGCCTAAAGTGTATCATTTTAGCACACCCCAAAATTGAAACCATTAAGCCATTGTAAGTTGAGGGTTTACTGATGTAGGTTTTTGTAAGTTCCTTAAAAGTTGCTCTCACTCACTAGTCTGGATAATTTACTACTTGCCAGGGAATTTTAAGTTCCATGTGAAGTAGCTGGAAGACTAGTTTTTACACTAAGAAGAAAATGGAAGGTGTAAAATGTTTTCTTTTAAAGAGGAAGTACATGGTGGCTATTTAAACTGTATTTTATATTTGAAATGCCTTTTATGACATTTGGAGTTCCTTGACCAAACCAACCTGCCCTCCCTACCCTTTCACTTAGCCTGAGTCTAAAACCCGTCGTGGGGGACTCCACCCCCAAGCATCAAAGAACACAGTATTACATGGCTGCTATTGAAGTATATGGCCTTGTCTGAAAGCCGCAGCACCTAAATGTCTGTGTTGTATGCACGCTAAGTGTGCACTGATCTAAACCAGACATGACTCATCAGCTTTTCTGAACTAAGTTGTGTCAGAGATGAACCATCTGCTCATGGAAACTTCTCAGCAGAGAACGAGAAGCATGCACTCTGAGTTACCCAAGGACCTGCCAGCCGTGTGCTGACTTCAGTAAGTCTGCCCTTGATGCCTTCCAGTGGTGGAATCTGCATTTGAGTTTTACATCAGGTGCCACAGACTTACTGCACTGTTAGAACTGCAGTAACTTCCCTGTTGATATCTGTGTGCACTTGGTAGATGTATGGCTGAATTTTGCACTGGATGCCACAGTTCTTCACAACATTCCTAGTGGTTTTCAAGTACAAGGAAATACACTACCAAGAATTCACCCTGCTGTTGGATTTGATTGAACGTAATCATGAGCATGTGCTTCTGTGAGTTCTCCTTCCCCATATTCTTGTTTGTTTTTTTAAAGGGGGGGAAAACCAAAGCACATAGGCAAAAAGAGATGGCCTGCAGCTAGCCAGTTAAACATCAGATATCACCCAAAGGATTTGAGAGTGCAGGCCCTTACCCAGAGAGGAGAGGCAGGCACAGGCAAAGAGGCAAAAACCATAGAAAGGGCTGCATTTAAGCTGGGTTGTTTTAAATTTCAGAAATTTTCATATATCAGAGCATTGAAAGCATTGTCAAGCAACAAAAATTTATCTTCTGTAAATATCGGTTAAGTTAGGTAATATTTATTTTATATATTCCTATGGAAAAATAATGATCATTGTAATGTTGACATTTGTGATAATTTGCCAGTCTTTACATCTTAACTTATGATTTAATCACTTAGAATTGGTACATTGTCTTTTGACTTATAGGAAAATAACAAATGTGGGAAATTTCCAACTGTATCATGAGATTCGGTTGTGTTTTATGTAGAGTTAAAGCCAATGCACTCTTGAATTTCTCAGGAGCATTGCAAGGCAAAAAGGAAAAAAAACCTACAAATAAAAATGATTTAAGTTGGCTGTGTCTTCGTCCACAATAAAAACACTTGGGAAACAGCTGTTGGTGTCTCTTTAGGAGAAATGGCTTCCACATATTGTCTCTGCTGACTGCTGGCTTGGGTCTTCACACACTTCAGGACATCTACTGTTGGAATTCAGTCTGAGCCTTGGATGTTAAGTAGGGACTACTTAAGACTTCAGGATTGTGTGTGAAAGGAGAGTCTGAGCGTTTAGTTGGAATATTCCTTTTCCCTTCAGAGGGAGTAGTGTGACTCACTGGTCACTTAGTCTTTCTCCAAGGTTAGTACATCTTCATTTTCTCTTAGACATGGGACCTGTTTTTAAAAATAATTTATGTCCATTAGTATAAAGGTGTCAAATCCTTTGGACCTGCAGTTACAAACTCTTGTGAACTTCCATGTGGGTACTGGGAATTGAACCTGGGTCCTCTGGAAGAGCAGCCAGTCTCTTAACCACTGAGCCATCTCTCCTGCCCAATAGAACCTATTTTTATTTATTTATTTTTTAATTTGACATCTGAATTGGAGTTATCAAAATTACTTTGAGGGCCACATTTTCTCACATCTCAAGTATACCTACTGTGATAACCTTATACAGTTACAAAGGACCACGGACACGTTTGCTCATATGTGCATTACATGGGTCATTTTACTGCTGTTGAATTGAGGAACCAGGAACTGTTTAGGGTTTGACTAGAGTGGTGTGGATGGAATGATGAGAGCAAACCTTTTACTGGGTGGGTGGCAAGCACAGGTTGTCTTGGTAGGCAGCTCTGCTAGCATTTGGGTTGGAGAGTCATTTAAAGCAGAGACTGTAGATGCTGTTGGGAAGGGCGATGGGGAGCCCAAGAGAAAGGACAGCAGAGGGGAGATTGGCCCTCAGGTGAAGGGAGACTCCCCCTGGACAGAGGTGAAGGAGAGGGGTACAAACAGCAGGTAAATTGTGCAGAAGTGTGTTGTGGGACGTCTCTCTAAGAAGGAAGGAGTAAGGTCTATTCTGAGGCTTGAGCCAAGTGGGTGAGAACCACTCGGGGTCACACATGCTGAGGGCCTTGATTTGGGACTGGTGGACAAATGGGAGCTGCATACCCTGAAGGAAGCCCGCTAGTAAGCTACCAACAGGCAGTGGTTCCCACCCTGACCGAGTCTAGTGGAGTACAGAATGTTAGCAGCTGAACCTTGCCCTCTTGTCCTTGTCTTGGGTCGTGTAAATGGAGATGTCACTGAGGGTTTTAAGCACGTTGTCAAAACTTTGCACATCCTATAAATTAATAATTGTAACAGTATTTATCTTGGAGATGGATGCAGTTTTAAAATGTTACTTAGATCACTTAAGGCAAACATGTGAACCCTTGGTTGGTTTCTACGTTGGCTCCTACCATGGAGTCATTCTTTTTAGTCCTGCTGGGTTAATATGTCAGTAATTTCCCTGTAATGATGCCTAACTGAGAATATTCAGCTGTCTTTTTACACATTCTTTTTCAGCTTCAGCAGCCTTTAGTTCAGTTCTCTATGGCCCTCTGGCCCTCAGTTCAATCTCAGTGATTTGAAGTATTTGGCTGAATTTCATACAAAATCTTGTTAAATTTATTTCTAGATAGCCCAGCAGTCCAAGGTGCATTTTTTGTTGTTGTTGCCACTTTGGAATATAAGGCATGTGTAGATGTTGAAGACATGTGAGTTCTCTGAGTGCAGGATTGGTCTCTACCCACTTCCAGAGGTCACATCCCCACAGCTGGGGAAGGGAGACATCATTTCATCCCCAAGATACTGTCCATGATACTGTTCACGCCCCAAAAGGGCGTGGTTGGGTATGTGGGACAGGTGAGGAATAAAGGGAGAAGGGACAGCAAATCTCTCTCTTGGATCCTGGCCACTGCGAGGACAATAGAGCTTCTTCTCAGTAAGTGATTTCTATATTCAGCAAAGTATCTTAGACCTCCTTTTCAGGTAGCATTATTTCCATCATCACATCTTCTATGTTTTGACATGAGCCTCTACAGCCAAGTGGTATCCATTGCTCACTGGAAGAGGCCCAGTGTGTATACGTCTCACAGCAAACTGGGACAGCAGAAATAGGGTCACACAGGTCATGTCTAACCCTAGAAATGGAGGGGTTCCACAGTCACTTATGTAACAATGTTGGATGCTGCAGAAGGTGACCAGGTGTTCGTTGACTAGCCCTCAGCTTCTCTAGCGTTCCAGTTATGGGCCTAGATTCTCAACCCAGGTGGCTTCTTACTAGAATTTCATAATCTGATCCTGTTTCCTGTTGCCCCACGTCTATTGTCCTGGGCGCAGAAGACTGACTTGAGTATCAGTATCTTGCTATGACCTTGGAAGACTTGCCCCAGCAAAACTTGCTTCAAGTCTACTGTCTCAAAACAGTCTAACTTGAAATTCAATGTCAGGTCTCCTTTTGTGGTCATAAGTTTCATACTCAGCAAGCTTCCAGTATAGTTTTAGATGGGCATTTTAGAATGGAATGTTCCCTCGAGCAGTCCAAGTAGAGTAATCAGGCATTATATCCACGGATTACCATGTCAACCAACATCCAGATGCCCATGGATATCGCCGATAAGTCTGAATCATTACTAAAGGAAAGGGGAGTGGATCCTGGGAGAGGAGAAAAAGAAAAAGTCATACTTTGGGCTGGGAATATGCCTAAGTGGTACAGCCACAAGGACTGGAGTGCTCATTCCGGCATCCATGGGGCAAGCCAGTAGCCACCCATATTGTAACCCCAGCTGGAGTGGGTGGAAGTCAGGAGGATTGCTGGGAATGTTGGGGTCCATAACCTAAGCCCCAGGGTCTGGAAACAACCCTGCTTCAAAGGAAAACATGAGAGCGATAGAGGAAGCCCAGCCTCCCCTACAGGCTGAGAAAGCCTGATAGGCTTTCTCAAACACACATGCATGTATAATAACAGGTGTGCACACACAAATGGATACTTAAAACGGGAGCCAGTGAGGTCGCTCAGTGAGTGAAGGACTTGTGCATGCCTGGCTACCTCAGTTAAACTCTAGAACCCAAGTAAAAGCGAGAGGAAATAACTAACTTCACATTACCCCCTGCTGACCTCCACACATGCACACATACAGTGAGAAATGGAAAAGAAAAGGCCACACTTTTGTCGTAAGTTAAAAAAGTGAAACATTAAAAGTCTTGCTCTAGCCTGGAACTCACTGCGTAGCCCATGCTAGCCTCAATCTTAGTGACCAACCTCCTGCCTCAACCTCTGATACTCCACCATGCCTGACTCACTAAAATGTAATTCTGGCCTGGAGGGAGGGATATCTTAGCAGGCAGGGGTGCCTGCTGCCAAGCCTGATGCCTGGGATGATCTATGCAACCCTCATAGTGGAACGGGAGAGAGAGAACTGTCTCCCACTAATCGTCCACTGACTTCCACATGTGTACTGTGTACGCCTACATATGTACATGTGCACATGCACACAAACTAAATGTAAATTTAAAATTAATTTGATCTTTACAAACAGAAAACTAAAGCAGACACAACTTCCACAAACCTGTACTAACAATTAAACATCCGATTTCATTCATTGCCCACCACTTTTTAGTATGCGTTCTATGTCGTTGTCCAGCGCTCACTGGGCGTTCACGATTTCTGATAGCATCACAGGTCTTCCTTTTCACACCATGGCAAGCTCAGGTCAGGATCCAAATGCCACATTGCTGGCGTTCTGTGGCTGCACCTTGCTTTCACTTTTAGATCCGTTCACTGTTGTGTCCTTGCTCCCAGGATCCCACAGGCATTCTCAGACTCCCTGGCCACCTGGCTCTCTGGCAGAAGACAGACAGAGAGACAAGGAAATGAGGTCCTTTGATGTGAGTAGCTTGGTGATCCTTGCTGGCCTCTCAGATCATCCTTAACTTGGTGTTTTTCCCTTCCACTTGCTAAGTAGGGACCCCCACACCTTCCCACCTCCCACCATCAGAATCAAATACCATCTTAATTATAAAACTGTGCTTGCCATCTGCGGAAGGGTCCTCCCTGTCCTGTCCAATTTGTTCACCATGGTGAGGCTACAAGACTTTTGTTTTTGAAGTGACATGGCAAATATGGGGAAACTTAGTTATACATTTCATGGTATAGATCACTATTAATGTAAACCATTATCCCCCCACCCCCATTGAAAATGAATTCCGTCAAAATGCCTTGCTAGGAGTGAGTGTGGAAGGGGAGTTTACTGTCTATTTAGTCTCTGCTCCCTCTTCTCTGGTCTCCACTACTGCTTGAAAGTGGAGTTTCATTTTGCAGATGAAGAAACAAACCACTGGGTAGGGATGTAGAACAATGGTAGAGAGCTGCCCTAGCTGTGCCTGGGGTCCATCTCGGGAGGGAGGAGGGCAGGGAGGGAGGGGGCAGGGAGAGAGGGGGCAGGGAGGCTAGCAGGTGTGCACCTGAGCAGTAGGGGCTCACAGGTAGAGCGCAAACTGCAGCCACAGGCCTGTTGGGTCTGGAGCTCTCTGTCACTCCTCCAGACTTACCAAGTGTGGCTGTCTCCCAGATAGCTCAACTATTTCTCTAAGGTGGCTCAGCTGGTAAAAGTGCCTGCTGCCAAGACTGGTGACCGGATTTGGTTCCTAGACTCATGTAGTAGAAGGAGAGATGGGACTTCTCCTTCAAATTGTCCTCTGACCCCCAAACAGGCCCTGGCCTGGGTTTGCCCACATGTGTGCCCACAGGTTACTGAATTCATTAATGAAAGGAGTGGACAGAATAGATCTATAATAGCTCTTTGTCCCAAAGCTATTTCTTGGAAAAGCAAGTTGTGTGCAGGGAAATGTTTCATCTCTTCCAAAGGCTAGCTACTTAGTGGGGTGACAGGCTACCAAGTAGGGTACAAATTCCTAGGCTGTACTTCAAGACACACATGCCAGAGACTACGGCTGGGTCAGATTAGCAGGACAGCCTTACACACCGCACATAGTTCCACTTTTGTTTATGTACTTCTTTATTTTTAGTTATGTGTACGAATGTGTATCTGTGTGTGTGCACGTGAAGGGAGTGGC